CCTAATTTAGGTTAAAGAGTATTTTGAAAAATTGTTTCTTAATGTGGATCCCACCAAAATAATCTAAGAATATTTATTTGAATAGTCCAAATAAATTAATTGGAATAAAATAGTTTTGGCTCATTAGATTTAATTAAAAAGCTTAAAGATAATTTTGGTGGGAGGATGAACATCAACCTTATTAGATAAGGTTGAATGTTTTAAAGATAAACATCAATCTTATTAGATAAGGTTGAATGTTTTAAAGATAATAATAATCTAATAGTCCACATATAAAATAACTCCTCATCTTTGGAGGATAAGGAAGCAACAATCTAGAGTCTTTTATGGACTCATAGCCACCAATCTCAAGGACAAGGAAACTCTCCTATAAATATATATATGAGAGAGAGAGAATTCGATCAACACAAGGAAAAAAAGAAGAGAAAATTCGACCGAGTCCTAAAATCACCTAGGACACACGACCAAAAGAGAAAATAAAGAAGAAAATAGTTTTCTCCTAAACCCTAGCAAGAAATATTCTTTCTTTCTCTTCTAAGATTGTCACAAAAGTTGCCCGGATTGATTTCTAGAGGAAATACAAAATTAAAAAAGGTGAAGCTAGCACCCCATTAATTTTGAGTGCTTCTCTGTGGATACTTGGATCTGCGTGGATCATCAATAGAGGTCGGACATTTGGATGGCTTTGTTGGAAAATAGTTTAGATCTACACTACAATAGGTCATCCTTTACTTATAGCTTACAATTCATATATATATGGTTAGTAGATTCAATGGCTTGATTTTTGGCCCTTCGATGAAGGAAAATTTTTTATTTATTCCGCACCTCCATAAGATGCATAATCCTTCACGCGAGCATTGCTACCGACCTTATACCTTCTCAATACATTCCATTGCGACATCATATTTCCACGGTGTCATCCTAATTTGTGACCAAACACTTCAAAAATTCTTCAAATATAATATTTAACTACAACTATACTTAAATCACATAAAATACAATTAACATATTAACTACAATTCAAATTAAAAAAAAAAAAAAGGATAAATAAAAACCTTGGATCGATAGATGTATTGTCTAAAGAGAAGATTGTGGTTTCCAAAATTTTACCTTCGGATATCGGTGCTACAAAATAAAAATAACAAATTAAATATGCCACATTAATGAATTAACGCCAAAAATAAACAAACTAATATAACAATTCTTTTGTTCTTAAGAAAAAAAGTAATAAAATTAATAATCACAACTAATTAACGACTAATAAAAATATTAATTACAATTAAATTATTATATTTACTGCAAATTGACATAAATAAGTATATGATAAACAACAACTAATTACAACTAATTAACTAATAGAAATACAAATAACAAAAATGTAAAACTAATCCAATAGTAAATTGGATGATAACACTTATTTCAAAAACTAATTATTTAGTCTCTATATTTTTAAATTATTTTTTAATATAATTATTTTTCATTTATTTTGATTTTTTATTTTAAAAACTAGAAAAAAATAAATAATAAATAAAAACATGAAAAGATTGAATAGAAAAAATAACATTTTCTTGTATAATAATATTAAATTAGGCATGAGCAATACTAATTAAGTAACTAATTAAATAATTAATCTTTGAAACAAATAAAGATAATTACTTTGTTTTTCAAAAATAGAGAAACTAATTTATAATTTACTCTCATAAATTAAATATTCTTTTCCCTATATTTTAAATGAAATAAATAATGCCAACCTATCCCTTCCGTACATGTCACTGACACAGTGACACCAAAATCATTCATTTTAAAAAAAGTCAATTAAAAGCAACGTAAAAATAAAATTCTTGAATAAAAAATATATAGAAAAATATCCTCTCACAATTTATATCTTCTCCAGCATTCTCTTTCAAGGAATTTATGCTGTTGGGAATTTTCAAGTATATATATATATATATATCATCAATTTTTTTCCTTCTAGATCACATAGAATGTTTATATACTTGACTTATTAAATGCTTGAGACTAAAAAGAGTAATTCAAAAATAATATACCACATATATATGTAATTTAAGAAACTCTCTAATTAATCATATAATTGATATATTATTTATTATTTCATAGATATGAATTTAATTATATGAAACATTATTTCATAGCGTAATTAAATTTGCTAAAAAGATAAGAAACTGGTATGTATATTATTATCCAATTAACAAATATACTAGTAGCTCTTAGATTCTCAAAATTTAATTTATTCAACAATCTTAGAGTTTAACTTCAGCTATATACTTCTCATTAGTAAAATTTTCACATTCAAAAAATAATTTAATGACTTTTAGATTTAGCTAGATTTTTGATCCAATGTATTTCTTTATATTTAGTAATTTTATAACTTTTAGATTTTCTATTATGTATAATTTTTTACTAGAGTTCTTAGAATGATATAATATATGATATTTTTAATTCAATCAATGGTTCGATAAGTTAAAATTTGAAACCACATACTTTGATTTATGTGAACTCAAATTATGATAAATATCTCAAATATTATCGTAAATTATCAATACTAATGAAAAAATTATAGTTAGAGTTATAAGAAAAATATCTTTAACTCACCAGATTAGATATTCGATTATTATTATTGAAAAACTTCTCTTTTTCTTTTGTGTGACACTAGATATAACTACTAATGGATTTAAAGAATGTGATTTTTAAAATAGATAAAAAATTAGACCTAATTTGATAGTCACTTAATTTAAAAAATAATAAACTTAATCTTGATTTATGGAAAAACTAATCCAAAAGATATACTATCACTTATAATAATAATTGATAAAAAAAACTCATGATAAAAAATAAAAAAACACTCATCATTGTATCTCTACCCTTTTCTTTTCCTAATCTTTTTTATTTCTTACCTTTCACGCATTAGTTAAGCCAGCTAAGAGAATAATCTTTACTAAAATCGGGAATAACGTGACATCCATGATGGGAACTTGCTAGCTGCTTCTCCCTTTCTTTTCACTCAAAACGGAAACCAATCCCTGTGTCTCCTAGATTTTGGGGGCCACCATGATTCTTTTGTCTGAAAATTCTTCAGTCAGAAGCCTTGTGAAAGGGAAAAAAAGTAAAGAAAAGAAAGGAGTAGATCGTGAGCTATGTTGCTTGACCCTTCTCTTTTATCATAGAGTATCCATGTTCGATATGGGATATTTGAACATACATATTGATATGTAGACATTTCACTTATATAGCAAAGTAAAATAAAAATTGAAAAAATAATTAAATGAAACAGAGACATATGGTAGTGTTATATCTAAATTTGGGTTGAATGGGATAACCCAACAAATTAAAAAAAAAAATGACAAAGTTTATGTTTAATCTACACCCAATATCCAATTCAATCTTAAACTCTGGATTCAAAATCCAACATTCGGCCCAAACCCAATTGATTGGAAGGGTCTTTCAAAACCAACATCGATTGAAAACATTTGAAAAGAAAATAATATTTTAAGTGAGAAAATCATGAATATGAACTCTTGATATGATTGAATTATTGCTAAATACAAGAAAAAAAAACAGCCCTAACAATCAAGAGACCAATTAACAAAGTAATCAATAAAGATTTAGCAAGAATTTAGCACCGGTATGACACGATCAAGACATAAAGAGAAAGATGGTAGAGTATTGCAGCATAGAGTTAATAAGTTGTAAGGAAACATAGAGTATTACAAAGGTACATGGCAAAATACAAAAGAACATGATTCACTAAAAAAATCATATAAAGGGCAAGAAGCCTATAGATACATATGCAAAATGAAAAATGGATACAATATCGTACTAACAAACTTAACTTATAATTTGCAAACAACTCATAGAATACTTTTCTAAGTTTCAATACATGTAGAAGTTATTAGGCTATAACTTTTATGCGACAATTTATAAGCAGTAATTAAGTTGGTAGTAATTTATTAATTGATAGTTTATTTTTGTGTTATTATTTTGTATTCACAGTTTGTGATCATGAACTGAATTTTTGAGAAGTAGCTTTACCATCACCAATGAATGTAAATCTTCATTTAAGATTGGAACCTTAATTTCTAATATATATATATATATATAAGTTATTTAATTTCAAAACTTTTTAGTTTGAATGTATGATTTTGATTATAAATTAGTTTGAAAATTTTGAATTGTTGAGTTGAGATGATATTTTTTGTAAATAATTATTCTTACAAATTTGCAACCTAACCAGTTAAGACAGATTATAAATCTCTTTCAAAATTTACAAATTGATTACAACTCATTTAATTTTTAATTTTATATCAAACAAAAATACTAAAATACCTTTATAACAAATAGAAGCATACGTAGAATAATTAATTAAATTCATTTAAGTTCGATCGAGTCTTGAAGTTGATTGCATTGCAAAGCAGTATCCAACTTTTTTTTTTTTTTAATTGAGATAGATTAAAAAAAAAAACCGCAAAACATTTGAACAAGTGCTTATATCCAGTATGGATCTCGAGTTTGAAAACATAGATTGTGAGATATCTTGTAATACACCTGATAGGGCAATGCTTCATTTTCTCATGTTAAAGTTTGATTCATTTGCAATTTTTTTGAACTATTACTGTTAATTTGTCTCAGTTTAAGAGATAGGAGTGAACTACAATATTAGGTGTACGAATAGACGGTAATCTCTTTATGCAAGGCATTAATTAGCTTTGTTACAAATTTTTGTAAGCAAAGAATAATTAAGCTCGAATACTTACAGTTTTTATGTACTAAGTATAGAATCAAACTCAAACCTTTAATATTATTATATCCATTCCTGCACCCTTGATCTAAAAACACTATAAATAACGTACAATCCTAACCCAATCCTCCTCGCTCGATAAGGTTTTATAGGCATATATAACAAACCCTACATCTCTCTCATCTCTTAAACCACACCAGCCCCAGCTTCCATTTTTATTAATTGCTTTCTTTTCAATTTCCAAATGGCCACTAACATCATACAGAGTACTCCGACAATGAACCAAGTGATTCCTAGTGAACTTTGGGTCTCCTTGGAATCTGATGATAGCACAATCATGAAGGTGGTCAGGGCAAGCCATGCTCCTGATGGTCGCAAAGTTGATGTCAAGCCCATGCTCCGTATCATCGACAACATTTTGCTTTGTGCTGCCCCTGCCATTGCAGAGGTTTCATATTCTCTTCATTGCCCACGTTAATATATAAGCTTTCTTGCTTGCATTCTCTCCAAGAAAGAGCGAAGTTACGAATTACACACTGACTAATCAGGGATACACTACTTTTATCATTAATTATGGCTATATATAGTACTAATTAATGATATATCCATTGTTTCTTTGTAGGGAACATATGAAGATAAGACTCTCTTGGACGAGGGCAAAATCAGTCTGCCTGATGCCGATGCCAAGCTTAAAACTCTTGCTTCTATCATTAAAAAAGTCTCCTCTGAGGTTATATATGTTACCAAGCAATTACATTAATGTCAATGCCTTTGTATTGTTGAACAAAAATAATAGCCTTCAGGATCACTAAATTCTTGATACAAATTTTCTTTATTGCAACAGCTCTTTTCCTACAACAACTTGTTCCTCTCAGGAACATTCAAAGCGGACAGCAACATCAATCAGACCATTAGTGCCTACGGAGTTAAGGTAATTGCTAGATCCCGGCCCATCAAAACTTCTTTATCAGTACTGTTCGGTCATTCATTATGCATGTGTTAATTTGTAGATGGATTGCAAGTGTACGTGCTCGGGTGGAAGAGATGTGCATGCAACGATTATGGTGTTACTTGACACCCTCTCAAGCTATTCGTGGGATGCCAAAGTAGTGCTAACCGTAGCTGCTTTTATAGTGAAGTACGGTCCCGAATTGTTTCTGTTCACTTCACCTAATGCTAACAATTCAGGACTTGCTCACTCTATGACACTCCTCAAGAAACTTCGAGACATCACTGAACATACTAAGTTATCCAAGCCTAAAATCGATGCAATCATTGGACTTTTCAAGGGCATCATGGGTGTAACCAAATGCATTGTAGAATTGCATGATCTACCCCCTGAGTCCATTGCAACTGACGAGACACCAATGTCAAATGCCATGGCTTTTATCCCCAAAGCTGCCTACTGGACAATCCTTAGCGTTGTGGTCTGTGCTTCCTATATTCCTAGACTCAGCGGGTACGTGTTAGTCTTAATTAAATGTCGATAGGCATGTATGCATGCTTGCATGCATACGTGCTCAAATGAACCCGTTTTAAATTAATTAATCACAAGTAATTGTATTAAATTGGTGTCATTAATTTCAGGTCTGAGGAATCAACCACGGAATTATGGGATCTACAAAGATTGGCCTCTGCAGGCACCAAAATACTCATGACCCTAAAGCACCACATCACTATTTGCAAGGAGTACGTAGGTAAGTCCCTTGGAAATTCGATCTAACCGTATAATATTTACTTTATGATTTTGCGAAGAAAAGAATTTTTTTTTTTTTTCCGTCAAGGCATCTATTCAATGATATGATTAACTAACGAGTGCAACAGATTTACGATGAGGACAGTCCTTTTTGGAAAGCTGATTACATAATTACAACCAATCATTGGTCAATCAAATCACAAAAAGGAAAAGAATCAAGAATCCTAGGTCTGATCCACATATTTGAACGAATTTAAGGGATTTCTACAAGGCAGATCTTTTTTTTTTTAGAACACATATGATAGTGATCACCTAAATCATTAGATTTGCTGTTGTATTCAAATTAATGTTGATTTTTGAAACATAGAAATTTTAGACCACCCTCTAGTACTTACTATATAATCAATGATTTGCTAAATGAATTTAAAACATAATTCAAATAAAATCTGTAATGGACTAAAAATGGATCAGTACTCTATGGGATGCAGATGAGAAATGTAAAACAGCTTACTGGGAACTCGTTCAAATTATCAACTCAACTCACTCGGACAACCTGACGATTCTCAGAACCTTGTTTTTTGTCAAGGGTGGTAAGCAATATCTCGTGGATCGCACCGGCAAGGTATGCACCTAAGTTCCTCTCTCTTTTTTATTTGGCGCTTCTTACATAGAAATATATTCTTAAGTTTTTTGGGTGCATGTACATATCGCTTTTTTACGTAGTATAAAAGTGATTACATACATCATAATAATTACACTACATCGAAAATATATACCTTATTTCTTTCGTGGAATTTATATATCTATATATATATACAGCGAATTTACGTTGAGGATTTGCGGGAAAAGAACGTGTTGCTGCTCATATCTGGCCTTGATCTCTCAAAAGAAGAGATTGATACTCTTGGTAAGCTGTACCAAGAGGCTCAAACAAAGGGAGAGGTTGAATATAAGGTAGTGTGGATCCCAATTGTGGAAAAGACAATCTCTTGGGACCAAGAGAAACAGCAAAAAATTGAGCAATTACTATCGTTGATGCCCTGGTACGCTGTGCCTGAACCTTCGAAGATCAGAGCAGAGGTCATCAAGTATATAAAAAGGTGTGGCATCTTGAAAACAAGATGATTGTGGTGCCACTAGATAGACAAGGAAAGGTGCGGTCATTGAATGCCCTTGACATGCTTCTTATATGGGGAAATAAGGCTTTCTCTTCCATCTATAGTGAAAAAGAAGAATCAATTTGGGAGGCACGAAAGACTTGGACGCTTGAGCTACTTCTAGGCGGCCTTGATAATAATTTCTCCCAAGTTCTTGACTGGGTAATTTCACTCTCTCTAAATCATCCATGCATTTATATCGTTCAAAAAACGAAAAGCAATTAATTACATTTGCCTTTGCACGTAAATTGATATGTGGAACTACGAATCAAGTCGTGCACAATTTTCCACCATATGCCAAACTATTCAACTAGCTAGTTTATCTTTTTTCCGTGGCAAAGTTCATATATATATATATATATATATATATGTATGTATGTATATAGTTTTAAGCTTTACATTTTGATAGAATTCCATAGTAGCAAGTTTTTTTTAGCTTCGCTATGGAATTAAATCTAATAATTGGGAATTTTAGAATTATCTGAATCTTCAACCCATTGGTCTTAAACTTAAACTTAATTAATAAATTAGTCTCTCTAGTTTTTTAAAAGAAATTAAGTAGTGCCTCTAGTTTCAACAACTGATTAATTAATCCTTATTTTTTAATAAATAGAAAAAGAAAAAAATATGAAAAAAGATTGATGAAAAAAAGATATTTTTTAAAACAAAATAATATTAAATTAATCATAATCAATTCTAGTCCGGGAACTAATGAATTAGTTTTCCAAATTAAAGGAGCTATTTAATTTGTGTTGTAAAACTAGAAAGGACTAATTTATATTTAGTCTAGGTTTAAGTCATGCTCTAATTAACAGCAAAATATTGGGCTTTAATTGGTTTTTGCCAGACGAAACAAGGCACAACCGTATGCTTATACGGAGGAGAAGATATTGAGTGGATCCGGGAGTTCACGAAAGCAACGAAGGAAGTTGTGAAGAACATCAACTCAGCTGGCACCAGCTTTGAGTTAGTCTATGTAGGAAAGAGCAATGCCATCAAGGAGGTGGGGAGCATCAATAGCATCATTGATGCAGAGAATCTTAGTCGCTATTGGATTGACCTAACATCCGTTTGGTTCTTTTGGACCCGGTTGGAGAGCATCCTCTACTTGAAAATGCAGCAAGGCAAGAATTTCAAAAATGACCGTATAATGCAAGAGCTCACAACTTTGCTTAGCCACGATGGCAGTGACAAAGGATGGGCTCTCCTTTGTAAAGGGTCTTCTGAAATGGCCTTGGCCAGGGGAGATGTTGCTCTGAAGAGTATGAAAGAGTTCAGCGAGTGGAAAGATGCTGCCATTCAGAACGGTTTTTTTCAGGCACTAAGCAGTTACTTCCAAAAATCACAAAAAGTGCAACGTTGCCGCCGAGTTATCCTTTCAGGGAACAGGTGGGAAATCCCAAGCAAGAAGCTGAGTTCTGAAGGATGTGAGTGTAGCATGGAGAAGTGCTTTATGTATCGTTGCTGTGAGGATTGATTAGTCTTTGAGCAAAGCCGTCTGGTACTTTCATATATTCGCTTACAAGAATAACACACTGAGTGCTTTGTTACTTTCTAATTTTAAGAGTAATGTTTTTTTTTTCCTAGATATTTATGAGTGGTGGAGTATCTGTTGATCGAGTCTTGATACAACGATTAATCCTCTACTAAACAAGTGTGCTTTTATGTACTAATGAAAATGATAAATTTGAAGGCATTGCCGAAGATATATCTGTATTATATCCGTGGCTGCCTCTTTATCACTTATAAGACTGGTCCTAATTTGCCATAGAATATATAAAAAAAAAAACTCTCTCCAGTCATTGTGATTTTGAATGAATGTGAGATCAATGATGTTGCTTAACTGCTATTGTTCATGAGATTAGGTTGAAGACCGTTTTGAAGTTGGCTTCTTCTCTTACATGGAATCCTAGATTAACGGCTTCTCTTTCGCGAGTTTGTCTCTTCTATCATGTGTGTTTTAGACTTGTGTGTTCTTGTTCTTGGATGCGATTTGATTAGGGATGCTCTTCCAAGGTTCCATGCTCTACCCCAAAGTTTCTGGACTGCCCATGATTTGTTCGATGAATTGTCTAAGCTGAACCTCCCCGTTTTCCTCTGTTGCTGGTGGCTTTTTGCTAGTTATGAAGCAGGAGGTGATGACAGTGTTGGTAAATATACTAATTTGTTTATTGATTACAAAGGGCAGATTTGTTATTTAAGTAGAAAAGCTGGGCCAATAGTCAAGGAGGGTGTCCGAATAGCACCTCCTTGTAGTTTTAGTGTGTGTACTGTATGTATGCAAGTGGTATGCAGTGATATTTTGCGACCGAATGTAGAATAGAGACTAAAAAGGCCTGTTCTTGGAAACTCAGGGTCAAACTTCAAAACAAGGCCCAACCTCAGCCACAACCCTTAGGCCCAAACTAATATAAATCCCATTGGCTGATGCAAAACTTGGGCTAGAAAATATTGTATTATTCGTCAATATCAAAATCATTCATGGATAGATACTTCAGGACAAAAGTTATGCTAATTTAACAATCATTGATTTTCTATAGAGCTAGTTATATTCTATTGATACTCAGTTATGATTTGAGGGAAAAATCATTTTCATTTCCCATCAAAACTTCCTCTAATTCCAGAAAAAAAATGCAAAGAACTTTCAAATAAAACTCTAAAGAAGGGAAATATGGGTTTTAGCACTTAAAACAAATCAACTAAACGTAAAAACATGAGCATGACACAATTCAAGTATTCTTGGATTTTTCAAACTAATCCTGACCATTCAATTGAATTCAAAATCACAGCCTTTTTCTATCCTCCACGTTTCCTCAAAAACGAAACAAAGCTTCAAAATTCAAATTTAGAAATTAAATTAAAAGGATCCAAGCGCAAAAAAAGAGAAGAAAACATACCAGAATCACGAAATGAATACATAAACCATAAACATGAAAGAACAAAGAGAACTAAAGAGAGATGGAATAAGAATTTTTATAAAAGAGTGTATATATATATATATATATTAAGTGTTGGTGGAAATGTGATTATAATGTCGGAGAGTGCAAATATCACCTTCTCTCGAACTAATATGAAATCTACTAATGATATGATTTTTTAAAATTTGGTAAGTATAAACTAAAAAGTATGTCATATTAGGTATTGATGCCCATGACTACAAGTCTCTACCATTCTAGCTATCTCTCTGTCTCTCTCTCTTTATAAATAACCTATTACCAAAAAAATAAAAATAAAAAAAATATTCATTTACTATTTGTTTACACTCGGATCTACCGTAAACCAACACTCATTGCCACCTGTTTTTGCCTCTCGACCGTTGATCATCCATCTTCTTCTTTCACCACTATTGTATTTTGTGATCTTATCTATTTTTTTTCTTTTCTTTCCTATAAATTTAATTGGTTAAAGAGAGATAAGGTAATCTAAGCGACCAATATATTATTGCCATGTCATCAAATCCCATCTCCAACAATCTTCAATTCATCAAAATAAGTAATACTTTTTCTCTCTCCCTTGTAAGTCAAGTATCGCTTCCTCCTTCTAAATCAAAAATGCTTTCACCCCTCCTAAATCAAAACCCAAACTTCTTGCAAACCTCCAAGGTGATGCCACTTCCCCTCCCCCCCCAAGCAGGCCAATGAATTTCTATAGCATGCTTTGCGGATCATCTTTGGCAACCATGGTACCTATATTGCGGGATGATATCATCACTACCCAAATAGTTGTTTTGTAAATTTTGTGTTGGGGTTTCCATGGGTCTCTTTAAGATTCCTCAATCGTTTTACCCGAAGCAATTTTCCGCATGAAAAAAGGAATGGATACTTTATTTTAAAAATTTTGTTTGACAAGGTGTTGATGGATCAAGGATTGAGAAGGTTCCGGAATCAATTTTGTGTTGGGGTTTCCATGGGTCTCCTCAAGGTTCCTCGGTTGTTTTGCCGAAGCAATTTTTTGCATGATTATTTTGGAAATTTTGTTTGATAGGGTATTGATGGATCAAGAGTTAAGAAGGTTCTGGAATCAATTCATATTAAAGCTAATTGAAACATTGTTCCTAGAGATGTATCTGCTATGGTTCTTGGTGGCACTTGTGTAACGCCCCGCCCTGATCATATTTCTACTACCCAAGTAGAGTACTCGGACGAAGCGTGTTACGCCGACATACCCTAAACTCTAAGTAGTTTTCTTATGATATTCTTAGGACTTTAACGAGTACATTACGTATATAACTCCTTAAGATAAAATTTACATAACATAATTAAATACATTAATAAAACATTACGGGCGATATTCAATTTCTCACGAACTCCATACCCCAAATTTACGGACAAAATAAAAACTAATAAATAGTGCCTCACATGAGCCGATTAGGAGGAGCCGGCCGCATCCGTACCAACTCGTCCTTTTTCTCTCAAGACATAAAAAAATAACAACGGGGTGAGCCGAAGCTCGGTAAGCGGGGTGATGCACGTGATATGCAATGTTGTTTTGACTTCCCACCATACTCATAAATTTTAATCTCGGGTACCTTGGGTATTAGCCGATCTACTCTATTTATCATCCGGGTGGTCCGCGGATCACCTTCTGCTACAACGAATTATCCCTCGTTGTAACTACCGTTAGCGAGAATCCATCGTCTAACGAGTAAGCACACGGTTTGATTTCATCCGAGATGATCCTCGGATCATCTTCTCGCTACAACGGAATTATCCCTCGTTGTAACTACTATTAGCGGAAATCGATCATCTAATAGTGCAAGCACACATCCTAGAGTACTTGGACTACTAATACCCATTTATTCTAGTTAGGTTATCAAACCTAGACATATAAACCATTTTCAATCAATTGACTTGTCTTAAACCACCTACTATGCACATGATGCACGTGATGACATATTTAATCACATTCAACCAAATTCGGGTACCAACCCTTCATTCTCATGACATAATTTTTTTTAAAAAAAAGACATACTTTGATTTATTCGGATATTTAAAGAATACTTGAAAAGCAAAAAATAAATAAAAGATAATTTCCCTCGCTTGACCTCTTTTTTAATGATGAAAATAAACATTATAGCCTTCAGTAGGCTTTTCTTTCTTTCTTAGTTTTGTTATTGTCATTAGAAATAGATAATGGACCAGACTCGTTTTTTTATAAAATAGTCTTTCATTAGAATTTTAATATCATGCATTATCATTAATTATATATTTTTTGAATATCATGTATCGTAATTAATATTATATATATTTTAAATATCGTGGGCTATAATTAATTTTATAAGGGTGTCTTTAAAATTACTCAAGAAAAAAAAACTTAATTTTGATTCACAAGCAACTTTCTTTAGAGTATACATCTTTTACCTTGAAATCAAAAAATAATTTAAAATTTTGGAAGTGTCTTCCTATCTTGCTAATATATATAGAGAGAGAGAGAGAGAGAGAGAAATACTTTTAATTAGTGGTTTAAGGAAGGAGTTTCGATATAAAAAGTACTTAAAATAGCACTAGAGATTACACAATTTTTTGCTAGTCATAGGTACATTTTTTCTATACGTCTACAGAAAGTGCTTTTGGGTGTAGATGGGGACCCACTCCTCGAAAATGACTGAGATGATATATACTTAATAGTTTTTCTACCCTATATTTAATTTTCAGAGCTATTTATAAACCGTCCCAAACCTTATATTGGCTGGATTGACAGCAACCAAGCAAACACCGTCGTCCCCGGGTTAAGCAACGCAACAAGAAATACAAGGTTGCTAGAGAGTCTGAGACATTTAGAATCTTGAAAATAAAATCGTTGCCTCCAAAAAGAAAATCATTTTCTTGTATTTAGTTAGCATAAAACAAAGACAACATGACACCATTTCTCTACCAATTGTCTTAAATAATTTCATAGGGAGAAACTATACTAATATATGATAATTCAAGATGTTTTCATCACATTTGAACTCTGTGTTTTTTTTATTAATATATTCTTCTTCTTTTTTTATCCAGATCTTTGATTTTTTAAAATTTTTTATTATAAAATTTTTAATTAATGATCGATATGTGACGTTATAATATAAAAATTTTAAAAAATAAAAAAGATGTATTGATAGGTAATGTTATAATAAAGAATATAAAACAAAAAAATCTTTAAAAAAAATAAAAAATAGATTTTTTTTTCTTTTTTTCATCTTTTCATGATTGGTTGGTTTATAGTCAAGGAAAGGAATAAGTCATCAGATTAGTGTCTTAGACGTATTAATCAATAAATTTAACTTTATTCGGACTTATGCTCACGCGCGAGTCGGCCCCTTCCTTTAAACCGAACCAACATGGGAGTTGGATGGAGCTTTCAGGGAGAATTTTCCTATGGTCCTTGCCCAGATGAGACTGCGAAATGTGATTGGATGGAGAAAATAAATTTTGACTGACCAATAATTCAAAAGTCGTTGTATTTATATATATAAACAGGCTTACAAAGTTCTTCAGTTAGGAGAAGATCAGTTTTTAGGTTTTAGTTCTTATACTAATAATTTTTAATTTTAGTGTAAATCAAATCGTGCACTAACAAATTGAGTTATTTTATTTGACTCTGTTATTCAACTAACTTCACACTGTCAATCGACTTGTATCCATCCAATTAAATAGTAAAACACAGTCAAATTATGTTTGAAAATATAATTTCAAAAGGAGAATCTTTTTATAAAAATTAAAAATAATAAAAAAAGTAATTAATTATTATTTAAAAATTAAAAAAAAGATTGATTATTTATATATATATAAAACAATTACATTTTTTTTATTTTTTCTTTTTCATTTAAATATTTTTTTTATTTTCAATTTTTATAAAAAAAAATTGATTACTTTAAAAAATTACTAATCTATTAATTTAAAATAAAAATATTTTTTCTTTTCATTTATTTATTTTTATTTTTCAACAATGATTAATTATTATTTTTTATTTTCAATTTTAGAAAAAGATTGATTATTTTAAAAAATAAAAAATTATATTTTGAGTCTTAGGTACGGTGACTCAAAGAATCCTACAAATACCCCACCCCTCTATAGACGAATCCCCCTTTGTAAAGTGAATAACTAGAAACCTTGTGATCAGGGCATACATTTGCATTATGATATATGCATGTCTGAAAACATCTTGAATTATCATATATATATATATATATATTTTAATTATCCATGTCGAATGGATGGTGACAGTCTTAAATGAATTGACGTCAACTTCAGGAAATGTGCACCACATTTGATCTACGGCTCAAAATGGCCAAAAGACTTTCACACTGTTTTTGCTTGACTTGACCTGTTGACTTGAAGACTT